TTCACTGTTTGAGCTCCTTGTCCCCGCTGCAGGTGAGCGACCAGACGAAGTTGCTGCACAGCTGTTGGAGCGATCTGTTGCTGCTGGACGTCGTCTGCAGGCAGGTTCTGTTTGGAGGAGAGGGCCGTCTGCTGCTGGTCACCGGAGAGGAGGTCAGAGAACAAGAGCTTTGTGTTATTTATAACTATGAAGATATGTTTTACTGACTCTGTGTGTGTGTGTGTGTGTGTGTATGTGTGTGTGTGTGTGTGTGTGTGTGTGTGTGTGTGTGTGTGTGTCCTCTGTGCAGATCGATCTGTTAGACATGGCCTCTCATGCTGGTCCCACCCTGTGCGGTCTGGTCCACAGAGGACAGGAGCTGGTTCAGAAGCTTTACGTCCTGAAGGTCGACCACCGAGAGTTCACCTGCATGAAGTTCCTCATCCTCTTTAACCCAGGTCGGTGGTTCCTGAGGCTTTTTATCAATCAGGCTTGATTAATGCTAACAGCTATGCAGCTCCAGGGGGACAGGAGCTGCACAGAGGAACTGAAGTCAAAGAAGGCAGAAAATGTCAAACTGAAGTTTGCTTAACTGTCAAACAAAGATTCAACCCCAAAATATTTTGATTTAAAAAAGTTAAGCCCATTTTTTGGCAAATCAAAGAAATCTCCATCAGGGTCACATCCAGGTGCAGATGGTAACTTCTAAAAGTTTGACTTCCTTAAGTGTCTGTTATCCCCCCCGAACATTTGGTGAGCAATAAACTATCTGTTTGGGGGTAAAAATGCTTGGATAAATTTAGGACACACATCATGGTGAAATTTTTAATAGGAACAGAAGGTAATCTTTTGTTTGAAATGAGACAGAAGCCTCGGTCTTTTGAGTGTAAGCCTGACGTGTTTTTACCCGGTCCATCAACTTGACCATTCCCCAAAGAGGACTTAACCTAAGCCTGACCCGACCCCAACCCCCTATTTTCAGGGACGAGCTTTCAACTGGTACCACCTCTGTGTCTCTGCAGCAAGGGGAAGAACCTTAGATAGCCATGGCAACCCTTCAGATGTGCTTTTACACACAGTCATGAGGTGATGCAGAATGTGAACTTTTACACCTTGAATCTGATCAGTTCAGAGTTTACCTTAGAGGTTCAGGATCTACACAGAGAGTGTAAAAGGAGTCTGGTGTGCATGTGATCTTAGTCCGTGTCTCCTCGTCTCACAGAGGTCAAACAGCTGGAGGAGCATCGCTTCATAGAGAGCGTGCAGGAGCAGGTGAAAGGAGCTCTGCTGGAGTACACGCTGAGCACCTCCTCTCACCTGCTGGGACGTTTCTCTCACCTGCTGCAGTGTGTGTCGAGTTACGCTCCCTCAGCGCGCTGGCTGAAGATTACCTGTACGAGACACACCTGAGCGGAGAGCCGCCGAGCGACAACCTGCTGCTGGAGATGTTGCACGCCAAAGATAGACGGACATGAAGATTTCTTGTATTTTGTAAAGAAAGTCACAAATCAAACATCTGTATTTCTTTCTGCTGTGCTCATACAGATACAAGAGTAAAGGGATATTTGATTTTTTTTACTATTGCTTACCCACTAAAATAAAAAATGAAATAAACTCGTCACTCAAGGATCAAAATGTCAGCCCAGATTTGTTCATTCTCAGCCTCACACTTTTTGCAAAACACCAATCACACTTCTTTAAGTGATGACACATCACTCAAAGCTGACATCCTGTGTGTTCACACTCAATCACCTGACCTCAGAATGCACATGTGAAGACGCCATCAGAAAAATGAAGCTGATACAGAAGTTTAAAATCCTGCAGTTCCTCGAGTGTCCACTAGAGGCTGGTTGCAGAAGCACAGGAAGTCACATACACACCCATTCTAAAAAGCCTGTTTTTACAGCAGAGATGAACATGTTTACAGCCTGGTTCAAAAAAACAAACAGGTCTGATTAGCTCATGTCTCGATTGACACACACTGTACGGGGGGTGAATGTTTTGATGACTCATCAGTTTTGATTTGATGAAGGATAAGAGTTATTCACAATAAGGCGTGTAGCTGACATGATTGACTGGAGGGCGCGGTGTAACGGTTTGTAATATATTTACAGTCTATGGTCAGATCAAAAAGAAATCTTGAAGACAGGAGGCAGGTTGCTCTTTAGTGAGTACAACGATGGGACACTTTTAGAGACTTAGAGGAAGAGGAGAAGGGGAACAGAGATCTTCAGTTCAGTATTGAGAATAAAGAGATTTTGTTTTGACATTTTAAAGTGTTTTAGATTCAGCAAAGCCATGTGCAGTCCTCAACTAAAGTGACATCAAACTAAACCAAAATCAATGAAAACAGGTGCAATAAAGGGTTAACAATAAAGAATCTAAAAGGACAATGACAAACCAGTACGTTGATGTTTAAAGTGCTTTAATTCCAAGTAGACAGTGCAGAAGAAGCTAAAGGTAGATCGTCTGAGCTCAAATCTGCAGAGTCCCTCTGCATCTTTAAGAAAAAGCTAAAGACCCAGCTTTATAAACACCTACGACCTTCATGATGATGAAGATGATGAAGATGTTCAGGATGGGTTTGATGCTGATGCCTCTGGTCACTTCCTGTCAGCACCTCTGGTCACTTCCTGTCATCACCTGTGCTCTGCCTCTGGTTACTTCCTGTCAGCACCTGTGTGTCCAATCAGACTTAAAGCTGTTTGTTTGCTCTTCCTGACGTTGTCTACTCCTCTCTACATCCTTGCTCGTGTTGTTCTTACTCTCTGATGTTCGTCGTTGGATAAAAGTGTCTGATCAGTGAATTGTAGAATTAGAGTAGAAATAGAAACCTGGAGCGTAAGCTGGTCATTAGACCGAGAGTCATATGCTCCAGAGGACCAGACTAACACCGAGAAAATATGAGAAGGCAACATCTCAATATGTGAGCTTTATAAACTAACAAGTGAGCAAATCAAAACTCTGACAGAGAGAACCGTCCAACCTTTCTGTACAGGAAGAGTGAAGAGTGTGGTCTGCATATCGTTTTTTTTAATGTTGTGCTCCCTTTAATAAAGATTTTAGGTATTTTGAATATTGTGGATATGTTTTCGTTCTCTGTGTTTGTTGAGTTTGGACAAACTGAGCCTTGCTTTCAGGAGCTGTGTTTACACATAGTGAAAAAGTGTTAAGAGTGAACGGTCAACATTCATGGCCACATAAACATTCAAAACAAACTACAGAATTTACAAAGCACTGGTTATTTTAGATCCTTAATAGTTAACCTTTGACCTCTGATCGCACCTGTTTTTCATTGATATAGATGTTTACAACCCTTATTAATTAACCGATCCTTTTTCTTCTATATTATATTTTTATATTATTTGTTAATCTTGTATTTTATTCTTTTAATCTGCTGAACGTCATCTCATAAAGACATACTAATGACTACAGAGAGTTCTGACGGAGCCCCTGGTCATCCAGCAGAGGATGAAGAGGTGAACTCGGGTCAACACGAGCCAAATGAATTCAAACTTTATGTTTTTGGAAACATCCTTCTCTAATCTAAATACCACCTCCTCATGTTTATTCCTGCTGGGACACGAGACTCTTGTTTTTCCCTGAAGTGAGTTTTATTGGAAGCTGCTTCCTGCAGGTCAAACATTAAATCTGAGATCCTGATGATTACACCTTCATCCCTCTCTGCTTTGATAAAAGGATTAATCAGTGTAATGCACTCATCGTTCTGTTTTGGAGGCGCCATATCAGATCTGGAGCCTGTTTCCTGCTCGACCTTGACATCCAGCTGGCAGAGAGTTGGCTTCAGTCCTGTAAACATGGCACCGTGATTCAAAACAAACACGCTGCCAGTCAGATCAGAACAGATGAGGACTTCTGTGGACCAGACTCTGTTTCACCTGAACGGTGAACGTTGCGTCGATAACAAAGAACTGTGAGAAAAACAATCGAAGGGAATGAATGTGTTTTTATTATATTCATCTGCAGTCTGTTTGATTCTTTGCATTGTTACTTTACAAATTGGATTAATGAAACAAATTAAGGGAACATGTTGAAAGAAATGTGTGGGGGCACCGGCAGCCTAGTTGTTAGTCTGCGCCCCCCATGTACAGAGGCTACAGTCCTTGAAAGTGAATGGCCTGGGTTCAAATCTGACCTGCGGCTGCTTACCTGCATGTGATTCCCGACTCTCTCTTTCCACTCTCCTGTCTCTCCAATAAAGGCATTAAAGCCCAAACATAAATCTTAAACAAATAAAATTAACTTGTGTGTTTGATTATTGGCTGTAAAAATGACACCTGCTGTCAGCTCTGTCTTCTTCACGTTTTAATCCAGGCGGATGATGAACTGTGCTGCAGCTGAGGAAGAAAATAAAGAGAAAGAGAAGAGAAGAGAAAACATAGTCGTTGTTGTTTTTGGATGATAAAATATGATAATATAATCTTTATAGATCCATCATTGTGGGAAGTTTGCATGTTACTACAGCTTGAAAAAACAGCAGTAATAGTTTTAATAATAAAAATAATAACATAAAGAAGGAAATACTGATGAAAAATACTAATAAATATTCAAGATAAAATAAATGTAGGCCTACATTATTTATATCTACAAGGCCTATTGTTTTATACACATTATTTACACCTACATACATTGAATCTATTACAAAAAATACAGATATTTTTGTACTATTTTTTGTAATTTCAATTTTTATACGTATTGTTATTTTCTATACTGTCCAGTAGACGTGTAGATGTGTAGAAAGTATTGAAAACGTCTGTACCATAGACTGTTGATAATAATGATAATGTTATAAACAGTTTTTTAAATAGACACACAAAGAAGCATAGTACCCTGCGGGGGGCAACTGTTCTTCTTATTTGAATATTTTCTACATTTATTATAAATCTAAAATAATCTAGTCATATTTCGATTTCGCTGGCGGTAATCCAACACTTCGGACGCGGTTCGCCCAAAACGAGCGTAGAAGAAGAAAACACAGCATTCCCCCCTCTCATCGTCGGTTTCCTCTTCACTTCCGGGAAACACAAACATTCATTCATCCAAGATGGCGACGCTGACAGTGAGCCGGGCTCCGCTCAGCGGTTTCAGTTTCGACAATTGTAAGAGGTAAGCGCTAGTCAGTGGATACCAGAAGAGACAGGTACACGCTGAGCAAAGTGTTTAATACATTTATGTCTTTTTTATGTGCACGTTTTTGTAGAATAGAGGAGTTTTTGTTCCGTGTTTGTCAGTGATGCTAGCTCATGTTCATACAATGACTCAGGCTTTTCCACTGCTAGCTGAGGTCCGCTAATCTTCAACCTTTTTAAATCATACACGATTAAAGGTGAACGGTGGGAAGAAAACCCCTGTTTTACTTTAAAACCACATTTTTTTATGTTCATCTTTTTATATAAATGTGTATTTGTATAGGACCGCTATCAGAAGAAATTAACCCAGTAATGTCCAATAAAGCTAAATAAAGTTTGTAACAACAGAGAATAAAACAATCAATAAAATAAAGACAGTTTATAACAACAGAGAATAAAAACCTGTGGGGAATACATTATAAATTAAATGTTCTTTGATGTGGGGACACAATGTTTTAAGAAACGGCTCAATTAAAGTCTCTCTCATGGATATGTAACGTAATCATAACCTGGTTTACATTTTTTACACTTATTTCAATAAGTATTTCAATGTAGGATTATTTAAGACTTTTCTGTCTGCAATATATATGGAATAAATACCGGAAGTAATGCCAAATAAATCATTTATATCGGCAATTAACTTTTGAATTGTACCTTAATTATTCATGATTTTATGTCTGCTGTTTTCTTAGGCTGCGTGATTTGTTATGTGCTAAAATGTTGTACATTATTGTGATAATGATGTGAAATATGGTAAATAAACATAGATTCGTTTTTTATTTATAGTTCTTTGCAACATGCTTCTACAGAGTTTGTGTGCACAAAACAGCTATCTTGTTCGCTCAAGATATTTTGCATAAAACACAATATATTGTGTGAACTAGTAAGATAACAGCCCAACTAATATAGTTAAGATTGTCTTACTTTCATATTATTGAAACAGTCATATGTATTTTATATATGTATTTTTTTACCTGATATTTTCAGAAATGCACTTTTGGAAGGTGAAGCCAACAAAGTGGGAAGCAACTTACCTGCTGCTCGTAAAACTGGAACCACCATCTGTGGTCTTGTCTATAAGGTGAGTGACAGAGACCGGGCCGCTGCAGAGAAGATAGCCCAGACTTACCGTAGAGTCTGTGAGATTATTAATATAAAATATTCTGTCCTGTACAGGATGGCGTCATCCTTGGTGCTGACACCAGAGCCACAGAGGGCATGGTGGTGGCAGACAAGAACTGCTCCAAGATCCACTACATCTCCCCCAACATTTAGTAAGTAACGCAGGGATCAAACCTGCAGTGTCCTCCACACCTTCAGATCAGTAGAGATGAAATCTTATGATACAGAGTTTTCTCATTTAACAGTAGTTCACACGGCATAGTATGCAGCATCAATGTTTTAATCCGTGCACATGTTTTCTCTTCCAGCTGTTGTGGAGCAGGAACAGCTGCAGACACAGAGATGACCACTCAGATCATCTCCTCCAACCTGGAGCTGCACTCCCTCTCCACGGGACGGCTGCCTCGCGTGGCCACCGCCAACCGCATGCTCAAACAGATGCTCTTCAGGTACACTCCTCAGGCTACATCATTATATGTAAACTATAAGCATTTTTTATTTAATTTATGTGTGGAAAAAGATCTTTGGTATGCTCTGTAATGTCGCTGCTGTGTGTTTTCAGGTATCAGGGCTACATCGGGGCGGCTCTGGTCCTCGGGGGAGTCGACTGTAACGGTCCTCACCTGTACAGTATCTACCCGCACGGATCCACTGACAAGCTGCCCTACGTCACCATGGGTCAGTCTCACACACAATAACATCCCAGATTCTGCATGATAACATGTCTTGTTGTCTGGAACAAGACTTATTTTATTCATGATTACTGAAGTTAAGAGATAAGTTACATTACATGTTTATGTCAAACTCACCGTACATGATTTAAGAGGTAGAGTTAGAACATCGACAACACAAAGAATCACATCAGGTTCCTTTGTGTTTTTGTTTGTCTATTAATGCAGGGAGGTCTGGATTAATTTGACCAGAATATTAACTCCAGCATGTAGGCCTTTGGGTGTTTTACGATTTGATTTAAATTCTTGGGGTCACGATTCGATTCAGAATCTATTTTCGATTTAAAACGATTCTGGATTCATGGATCTACTCCAGTCATCTGTGAGACTGGCTGAATTTATGTTACTCCATTTAGCATTCCTGAGTTAAAGAGCTTTTTTGTGAGTTATGAATCGATTTTTGTGAGTTATGAATTGATTTAAAATCTCAGAAGATAAGAATCTCGATTTTTGCATAAATCAGTTTATTTTCCTATCTCTACCAGTATGATATCATCAAAAATCTAACAATATAAACACCTTTTCAACAACACAAAAATTCAAGTCCTAGGCCCCCTATATTCTGTTTATTCTTGTATTTATATTCCTAAAAATTGCAGGCAACCTCCTGAACACTCTAAGTTGCTCAGATGCGTTGGCAGTGTTTTGGTACCAGGTTGTTTTTGTGCAATCTCCTCACCGCCTCTCTGCTCTCTGGCTGTGTGTAAGAGACATTACTGTCACATTTGTATCTTTTGAGATGCCAAAAGAACTCGAGAAACATCAGAATTTGTCGACTTTATGAACCCCTGCTGCTCTCTCACGTTCGTTTTGCAGCAACTTATGGTTAAAAATATGACTACAAATCTTCAAGCTTCAGTCCTTTTCCATACTTTTAATCATTCAAACAACATGGACAGTATCTTTTTTCAAACATGTGGGGAGGAGAGGGTTGAAAACTTTGACCCTACCTTACCCTACACACACCCGCTTTGACAAAATCTATACTCATTTGTGATGTGAAGGACACACAAACAAGATGCTTTTAAGGGTGGAAAGTTGAGGTTTTGTTACGGTGTGATCTCACTGAACACGATGATAAAGTCAGTCGTTCTTCTCTCGTGCAGGCTCCGGTTCTCTGGCTGCCATGGCGGTGTTTGAGGACCGCTACAAACCTGACATGGAGGTGAGTCACTCCTTTTTTTTCTTTTTTCTTTTTTAAATGCTGCTTGGTAACCTAGTGACACATGAGCGTGACTTCCTGTGGATGATTTTTGTCTTTTAAAGGAGGACGAGGCGAAGAGGATGGTCCGAGACGCCATCGCTGCAGGAATCTTTAATGACCTGGGCTCTGGCAGCAACATTGACTTGTGTGTGATCACCAAGGGCAAGGTGGACTATATCAGACCACACGATGAGGCCAACCAGAAGGGGGTCAGGTGAGAGCTACACCAGGGATGCCTTTGATTACGTTTATCTGTAATAACCTCCATTTTTCTGTCGACATGTCCACGTTTAACTTATTTAAGAACTCTGACATCGTACAGAGAGAGATCTTCAGGAGTTCTTTTGAATTCCTCTTTCCTCTCAGATAGGCAGATGTTACACCTTTAATCTTACACCTAGCTCCTAGTAGGTGGTAAGTCCTCCCTGAAATACGGTTGTCGTGGTGATGGTTTAGCAAGGTGGGATAACTTGGAAGATGGAGAGGAGCAGAGTGTTGTAGCACCTGTTTGGTGTCAGCAGAGTGATCGTTTACATCCATCAGAAATGTTTGGATGACTTTGTTTTGACTCCTGCTTTAGTTTTCCAAGATCATTTCATCGTCCAATCAGAGAGGACTGTAAAATCATCTTATGTTGTAGTTGGAAGATTTCACCACTAGATGTCCCTGTTGTTATTGTACACTAGCTGTAGATGAAGGCTGCAGGCTTTAGTCCTCCACTCATCATGATGCTTTGTCTTATTGAACAAACAATAATGTTTGTGTTTGTGGATGAACGTCAGTGAACAGAAGTTATTTTCATGGGCGGCTGTGGCTGAGTTGGTAGTTGGTCGCCTCTCAACCAGAAGGTCAGGGGTTTGATCCCCAGCTCATGCAGCAATTGTTCAATATGTCTTCGGCAAGACACTTAACCCCGAATTGCTCCCTTTGCTTCTTCAGCGGTGTATGAATGTGTATGAATGGGATTAGTTACCTCTAATGGTCACATTACATATCAACCTCTAGCATCAGTGTGTGAATGTAGGAGTGACATGCAGCGTAAAAGCGCTTTAAGTAGTCAGAAGACTAGAAAAGAAAGATCATATTCATTTACTATTTAGCTGGTAGATTGTTCAGAGACGATCATACGCGAGAGGAAACAAACACTGCAGGGAGAGAAATGCTGCTCTCTAATTGGTCACATCAAGAAAAACTAATTTTCTGACACAATGTTTTGGTTCATTTGGAGGTTACACTTTGCTAGTTAGGATGAACACATCACTCATCACATCATTACTCGTGATGTTAAATCATTAACGGGCTGACTTGTTGTCTTGTTGCTTGTTTGTTCTGCATGAAGAGTAAATGAGGAGGCACTCTTCCAGCTGTGAGTACAGACTGAGTGACGTGTTGGAGTGCAGAATTAAAACCTCACACCGATCTGGAGTTCATACTAACCAGCTTTCTACTCACCTGCTCAGTTTGACTTCTCTAACATTAAATCGTGTGTGAAACCACCCAGCACACACCAGTTTGATTTACTTGTGTGTGTGTTCCTGCTGCAGAACTGGCGACTACAAGTACAAGCGAGGAACCACAAGTGTGCTGACGAAGATGGTGACCCCGCTGTCTCTGGAGGTGGTGGAGGAATCCATACAGACGATGGATACCTCTTAAAAAACAATCTGTACTCCATGTTTCTCAATGTAACTTCCCCTCTGAGCTCCCGACACTAACGGTGTGTTTTTCCATGATTTACAATAAAAGTGTTTGACTTGAGTCAAGCTTTGTTCTTCGTTCTTTAACTGATCAGGCTGAAAAGAAAATACTTTGTAGAACTGTGAGCATGCTTTACAAATCTGTGCACACCTGAGACTTTGTGGGCAGATGGCCTGAGCCTTACCTGTGACCCTGCCAACACACAGTTGGCACAGTAACTCTGTGACAGTTAGATGGCAGAGCTTTGTCCTCTTCTGAGTCATCAGTCCAACATGACAACAGCAGTGCATGCAGAAGGAATACAGTTAAAAGCTGCATGTTGCTTCATCATCAGAATTGAAGAGTCACTAATATAACAGATAACATTTTCTCCTTCAGCTGCAGTTTTTAAACTTTTTATTAAATGCTCAAAACACAGAGCTGAGTATGACATCATTTCTAAACACAAAGTTACAGTTCAATAAAAGAAAGATGAGCAGAGTCCACTTCACCATGTTTTTCTAACTGTGTCCCTAGTCTGTCTACAAACCCCCCAATGATGAGAAAAGTCCATCCTCTTGGTCTTTTCCTGCTCCACTTTTGAGAAAATGTGTGTTCAAACAGGCCGTTTGGAGATTTTCCCTTCATGACATCACAAAGGGCAGTAACTCCCCCAGGTGGGTGACACTCCCACAGCTAGGTGTTTGTTCTGCCCTCTGAGTCTGCCTTCTCACAGTAAACAATAGGACATGGAGCGAGAAAGACAGAGCCACCCGAGCCCTTCCAGAGAGGGGGCGTGGTCAGACACAGCTCATTTACATATTTAAAGGTACAGACACAGAAACAGCCTGTTCTGAGCAGGGCTGAAATAGAGGGCTTTATAGGCACGATCAAATACAGGATCAGAGTGGATTTAGAACAAGAAACTTCACAGACATGTTTTGAGGACCTCAGACTTATTTACACTGACGAAGAGGAGGATGATATGTAACCTTTAATATGTAAATAAGATAATGTACTGTGCATCAGATCTGCTCCTTACATGAGGACATTTTCAAAAAATTTCACAGCGTCTCACGTCTTCGGAGTTTACACCTTCACAGTAACAGTGGATCAGGTATCCACTCATTTAAACACTGGATTCTGGTTTTTATTTTCTATAAAAACTGAAAACCTGAAACAACCCCAACCGCCATCAACCATGGAGCTAAATTCCTCTAGTACGTCTCTAATTCAAAGAGTCAGGGACGGATGCTGCAGATACTTCAGGGTTCACTGTGTACAGGCAACATAAAAATAGTCAAATAATTCAAAATAGACTGTAATGTCCAATGTTTGCACAGTCTCAGAGTTTATAAAACGCTCCAGTTCTATTCAGAAACCCAGAGAGACGAGAGCTCAGAGAGACTGTCAACCCATAATCGAAAGAGTCATCACATACATCATCAGATTATATTAAAAAAGAAGGTTGAAGCAGGTGCTGCTCTGGGCCAAAAAGTGTCAAGGAATCAGGTGCTCTTCAAGGGTCAGAGGTCAAACAGCTAATAAATAAATGACTCCTGATTACAAACAAAGCTCGTGGCAGTCTGAGGACACATCCCTGTTTGATATATGATTCTTATACTGCATCAGAGAGCCTCAGACAGAACGACATTTCTTCACAATGAGCTGTGTTTGTAATCAGAAAAGTCGTTCATTCATTCTTTTGATACCACAGTAACAAAAATAGAAGTCCTGGGCATCCAATAACGGGTTGTTTCTAGTTTTTAATGAGTAAAAATTCCAGAAAACTCCTGCGCACTGACTGAATTGTACAAAGAAACCGGAAACTTGATGGATTTGTGCATTTTGGACAGCGTACAGGAGTTTGCTGCAATTTCTGTCTACTGTCAATCATGAAAACAACAGAGTTTGTATTGTTTTAAAACATGGTATTAAAAAAAGATTTTAGAACGGAAATGTTGCCAACTTATTTGTTCAATTCAGACAGTGCTCTCTCTCTCGCTGCAGCTTTTGGGTTAACTAATAACTGAAGATCTGAATTTTAAGTTTGTCCAGTATGTCCTCCTTCTAACTTTAGATTCTGGTCCTGAATGATCTGGATTTGTCTGGACCAGAGAAGGTAGGCGGTTTTAAGACACCCCCACACGGCCGTTTTGGACGCCCCTCGGTTTACCAGATATGAGAGCAGTTATCAGATCAAACCAACAGGTGTTGCAGCGATGGAAGCGGGCAAGAGAAGTGGTTCAGATAGAAGTGATTGTACCCGACCTAAAAAGCCTCTGCATGTTTCTAATAAGCTCCACGAGCAGAAACGTGCTCAAACTAGGATCAATATTGGAGATGCTTTTGAAAAATGGAGAGAGGTTAGAACACAGAAAGGTTTACAGACCGATGCAGAGCTGGATAAACACTGAAGCTTCAGTGTCCACCACATGGTGACCTGCGTGAACATCGACTCTAGAGGGGGGACAGCTCTCTACAACGTTTAGAATTTGGACTGCAGTACCCATTTTAACCACTAGGTGTCAGAGTTCCATACTGCTCCTTTACTGTTTGATTAGTGGATTCTTTTATGGTGACAAAATCTTTTTTACCACCCTTATGTCATCTTTATTTACTATTCCACTTTCACGACTCAGTTTAGGTTTTAAGTGTCAACATCATTATACAAATGTTGCTCTGTTTTTTTACGTTTACTTCCTGTTCTGCGCTCTGAATCAGCTTCAATCACGCCTCAAGTTAAACGTGATGACAGACCTGCTGACTTACATACTGAAGATATTCTAAAGCTAGTTTCCTCCCTGAAAGCGAACATCATTAAAGCTGCATTAAAGAATCAGACATGATAACTGAAGTGTTCTCTAATGGTCCATCCAGTCGTCTACATGAAGCACTCTGTCTGACGATATGAAGCAGACGTATGATGTGATTATAAGACGGGTGATGAATACAGATCGTCACCTGTCACTCACTCAGGGGTTAAACATGGAATGGACCCCTGTGACCTTTGATAGAAAGACCCTCTGCAGATCACCAACCTCCTCTCACATGATCAGATCTGGCTTCATAAACTCCACCTTCAACACGTGTAACACCACCCATCTCCTCCTCACATCATCCAGGACACAAAAGAAGTGTCGCCGTCCACTCTACAAGTCTGTCAAGTCTGTCCGTGGTTTCCCCTCCCGTCCAGGTGAGACCAGGCAGATCTGACTCCCAGTGCTTCAGGTCCTCAGACTGAGCAGAGTCCGCCCCCTCAGGTGCTGGAGGTCCACATGTGCATCTGTTTGGCGATCTGCAGCACAAAGACGATGTCCGGGCGCTGGTCTGGATCCGGGCTGATGCACATGCTCACCAGTTCCCGCAGCTGTGGAGAGAGAGCTCGTTAGCTTCAGTGCTAACTGTGAGGTTAGCACTGAAGTACAAAGTATTTTTTTTCAGAAATCAAGGGGAGAGAGAGGAGAGAGAGAGAGAGAGAGAGAGAGAGAGGGAGAGAGAGAGGGAGAGAAATGACATGTGGTAAAGGAACCACGTGCTGGATTTTAAATCCGGCCCGTCTGCTTGCAGGACTACAGCCTCCGTGCATGGGGTGCATGCACTAACCACTAGGCCACCAGCACTCTGTCAAAACCCATTTTCCTCTTTTTTACAAAAGGTGTTTTCAGTGACCTAAAATGCAGTTTGCATACGAAAGGTCAAAATGCACAAAAAAATCTCAGTATTCAAAAATACTCATTTGTTATAACTTAAGAAGACCAATCATTTGACTCCCTGTTCACCCCTGACCTTTACAACAAACGTGGCGGCTTCTGACCTTAAAGAGACGACCCCCTGTGAGCACGTCTGAGTGTCTTCAGCTCAAACGTCTTTATGTCCTGTTGCTCTTACCTTCTCTGAGTAATGGTCGCCTGGCAGCGGAGGGTAATCACACTGCTCGATCTTGTGGCACAGAGAGAGCAGGTTCATCTTGTCTCCATAAAACGGACTCTGCAGCGCCGCCATCTGGACAAACAAGCAGACGGCATGCATGAGAGACTTTTTCGTTCCATTCCCGAACTTTGACATTTCTCTAAACGCCGTCGCTTCTTAAGAGGACGTTTATCCCTCAAACCAGCAACCTTAAAACGTCCAGACTGCTGGAGCCTCTCTCTGATATTTTTATAACTTAAGGTGACTGTGCAGCTGGAAATAGGATTCACCAGGTAACTGGATTGAAGGCATGTCGTTTTTTGATCGTGTCGGCGTTTCGGGTATTATGTTTTGGATGTAATGAGACATTCACATGCATCACTGAATCCTGATTGTGAACTAAAATAAACAGATTGAGGCCGGTGGAAAAGAGTATCAGACTTGAGAACGCCAAGAGCATGCGTCCTGAAATATATTTCCACATGTCACCCCACAGTGCTGACTGCTTTGGACAGTAAAGGGTTAATGGTCACTGCAGCGTTTTTTGACAACCTTAGTGGCTACATGAGCAGGACACTGAACACATGATGCTACACAGTCGCTCTCTGTTGGCACAGACGACAGGGAGTCCTTTGTGTTTCTCAATAACAGCTCAGCATTCCAGTGAAATACGAGCAGCCTGACTCAGAATAAAAGTTATTATGTTTGAAGGTTATCATATTCACAGTTTCTGTTCTTATCTGTGCCGGGAGAAGCTGATGAAGCCGTGCAGGTGACACACGACGTTTGTAGACTACAGAAGTAATTCGGGCTGTCATGCGGTGAATCTACTTATTTTTCTGTCAGGCTCATGTTACCTGCCCTCATGTGAACTGAGATGTAAAGATGAACAGTCGAGTTCTGTGCACAGGGCGTCCTCTCGGCATGAGTTCACAACAATCATCTCTGTAACTAAGACATGAGTGGTCAGAACAAAAGGTGCTCACAGCTCAAGAAGGTGAAAAAAAAACCCAGTAACAAACATTTCAGGTCTTCAGACTCAGACTTTGAGGAAGTCTTCAGCGGTTTGTTGATGCTCAAGAGTGACCGCCAACTTTTTCGGCAGCTCTGGCTCCTTTAGTAAGTTGCCCCATTCAGATCCTCCATTGCTTTATACCAAGCGATTGAAGCCTGCAACCATGACAACCGGCTGAAATCACCTGTATAAGTCGTGTTTCGACCTGAGGAGCTTTCCCACAGAACTGAGGTCTTTTTGAAGAAATACATGCTTTTCAACCGAAGCTACCAGGGTGTTAATTTAGTTCTGGGGTAATTAATCTACCCCGAAAAAATACGCTGCTCGGGGAGGGGGGTGGGAGAGTACTTTCTGAAGGTCCAGGGACTTTTGGGGCAGGGCCTGCAGTGCTGAACTCCTCTGCTTGGTCAGGCTCTTGTAGCGTTAGCGCCATGTTTAAAGACTTTTGTTGTTGTTTCAGGGGTGTAATACGCTTTGCGACCACCAGGGGACGCTATAATTTCTTTAATCGGTCTTAACCATTCAGTGTCAGTAAAGTTTGAATAAACGTGATCTCACCTCGTACAGAAGGCAGCCCAGAGACCAGATGTCGGACTTAAAGTTGTATCCGTTCTCATGGATCCTCTCGGGCGACATGTAGTACGGCGTCCCCACTGACACACCCAGAAACACACACACACACACTAAATCATCTTTTTCACATGTTAAATAAGAACATGTATGTTCTGTGCACCGATGTGTGTACTGGGGTTACCTAAGGAGTGAGCTGCTGTCGTTTTGGAGCTGAAGAATCGTCCTAACCCCAGATCACCCAGCTTCACCTCCCCCGTGGCTGTGATGAACACGTTGGCCGGCTTAATATCTGGTGAAAAACACGAAGACACAAAGATTTCAGTCTGAGAGGAAGATGGAGACAGCCTTGTTTCTGGTATGTAAACTATTCAATGAACTCTACAACATCCGTCCACTGCTCCGGTCGTTTTAAAACTGAACACAGAAAATAAGAACAGAGATGAAATCATGAGCGGAGGAGCAGGAGGACGGATGAGATGACATCAGCAGAGATGACAGGCTGCATGTTTGTGTAAATGAGGACTAAGAGGGGTGACAATGATGTCGTTTTCTTACCGCGGTGCATCACCCTGCGTGAGTGCATGTGCTCCAGAGCGCTGCAGAGCTGCACAAAGTACTTCCAGATCGTCCTCTCTGGGATGAGCCGCCGCTTCTTCTTGAAGTACTGAACACAGGAAGGAGACGACTGTGAGTACACAACAAGAAACTGAGCAGATAAAATATGGTTTTATTAAAGGGGTAGTTCAGTGTTTTTGAAGCGATGCTGAATGAGGTTCTTGTCAACAGTGAGTTTATTAACCCTTTGAGATGTCAGTCAGCTCGGCCCCTTTAAGGAGAGAGCGGCTGGAGTGCAGGCAATGAAGCTAGCTAATACAGCGCTGCAGGCGGGGCTGTTTGTGCCACTCAACCTCGCTAATTTTAAGAAAAAAATATCCAAAACAATCTCAGCTCTTTACTTTCAGTCAGCAAGTCTACTCCAGCAAACCACAGACATGTTCCTCCACCTGCAGCGCACCGATCAGCTGTTTGTTACTGCAGGCTTCCAAAGAAACAACAAACAAAAAAAACTACAGCGACTGTGACACGGTGCCAACTGTGGATACCTGAGGAAACTTTGACGGAGTTAACAGAGGATAAATGTCCTGCAGAGAGAGAGAGAGAGAGAGAGAGAGAGAGAGAGAGAGAGAGGAGAAGGATGGGAGGGGAGGAGAGATCCTAAAGTACCTGGTGGTGCAGATAAGGCAAGGCAAGTTTATTTATATAGCACCTTTCCTCCATCCATTACTACATGACTGGAGAGCCAATCCCAGCTGTCCCATCATGTGGTTCAAACGACCCCGCCTGCAGCGATGTGGAGTCTATCTCTGGTGCCTGTACTCCGACCAGTTTCTCCTCAAAGTCGCTGAGCTGACCGACATCTCCGTTGGCTAATAAAGTTACTATTTTGCCCAAATTTTTTGTAATAGAGAAAAATAAAGCAACAAAAAACAAGCACGCAAACAAAAAAAAAAAAAACACACACACCGAAAACAAAACAGAACAAAACAAAAAAGTGACACACACATCACCAATGACATAACCATGATTTAATTTAAGTTTTTGCAACCACAATAGTGTTTCTATACATCCCCTATTCAGTATATATTTTAATAAATTAAGATATCACCACATTTTCCCTTGTATCTAAACATCCTCCATCACTTGTTTACATGGAAACAATCTGTCAAGGAGTTTTGCATTTTGCAGTCTTATTTTAAAAGTTATCTTTTCCATTATGTCAATTCCTTTGACAACTAATTTCCAAGACTCGTGGGTTGGGGGTTCTCTCTTAAGCCAGTTCAATGTTATTGCCTTCTTGGCAGCTACGAGAAGTATGTGTAATAAATAAATCTAACCCCCATAAAGTTACTATTGACACAAGTACCTCATACAGCCCCACTTCAAAAACCCGGACTTTCCCTTTAATCTAACTCCTGACCTTGATCATCTGGGACAGATCTCCTGCGTCGGCGAGCTCCAGGACAATGTTGAGCTCGTTGTCTTCAATGAAGGAGTCGAGGTATTTGATCACGTTGGGATGATTCAGCTGCTGCAGACGACACAGCAGGAGAAAAGTACCGTTTACACACACCTGACATCTGGACCAATAGAGGAGCTTTAAATCTGTCTAAAGGTAGAGGATGATTGTTCCTCTTAAAGCGAGCTGAACACGACATCTCTTCACCTTGAGCAGGTCGATCTCTTTGACGCAGTCCTGACGAGCCTTGGCGTCCATCATCTCAAAGATCTGAAGCAACAAAATAGATAAAGATAAATAGAAAAAGATAAATTAAAAGTCACATATGATGCAAAATACACTTTACTATGTTAGGTTAACTGATGACTCTAGATTTCCCCGTAGGAGTGAATGTGAGTGTGGCTGGTTGTCTGTCTCGATATGTCAGCCCTGTGATTGGCTGGTGACCAGTCCAGGGTGTAACCCGGCCTCTCGTCAAATGACAGCTGGGATCGGCACGGTAACCACGAACAGGAAAAGTGATAAAAAAACAGAAGCTGTTTTCACACATGCACTCTTGATATTGTTTAGAAAGTTTCAGAGTGTAAAAGAAAACTACGAAATAGCACAACACTCTACGAGTTAAGATGATAAAAAGCAGTATAATTTTTGTAGCAGTATAAATCAGTAGAGGTGCGGACTCTTGTACCTGGACTTTCTTGAGAGCGACCAGCTGACCCTCCAGCAGGTACGTGGCTTTATACACCTCACTGAACTGACCCCGGCCGATCTTCTTCTCAATCTGAAAGTTCGACATCGAGCAGCAGAACTTACGGCCGGACATGTTCTTCTGCAAAACACAACAAAGCATTAGAAAAGTGAGCAGTGAAGCATGTTTAAGATGTAATAATAAAGTTTCGAAAATAACTTTTACTGCCCGTAGGAGGAGGCTGTTCATACTTCAGAGTTAAAGATAGGCTTTAAAAATGCACATCTGAATAAAACACTGGGGTTCTTTACCTGGTCGTCCTGAGCAGCCAGCTTGTAGAGGTTGTTCAGGTTGTCTAACGTCGGCTGGTTGTTGTTCTGAGCCTCCATCATGGCATCACAACCGGAGACCACTGCAACAGGACAAAAGATAAAAATCAGACAGCTCAGAGACCCGCCGGGGGAAACAGGCGGCGTGCAGCCCACATGGGTCTGAATCAGAGCAGGAAGCACGTGTGGCAGGATGAGATGCCACCTGCTCGCTCTCTGTCGTGCGACTCAAACTTTCAGAATGATGACCAACACGGAAACTGTGAGTGTGACGTGTAATAAGGTGAAGGAAATGACTGAGGTGTCACAACACCAAACACAGAATGATGCCATGACACCTCTGCAAGAAAAAAATAGAAGTCCTGAGCAACCAATAAATAGCATTTATTTTTTAAAATTGTAAAAAAAACAAAAAAAAAAACAATTGCATGCAAAACTCCTGCACAATTAAATTTGGGTATCAAAATGTATTTATGCATGTCTCCCTATCATCAGGTTAAAGGTTACATATCCTCCTCCTCTTCAATCAGTGTAAATAAGTCTCAGCTCCTCAAAACATGTGAGTGAAGTTTCTTGTTCTAAATCCACTCTGATCCTGTATTTGATCATATAAACCCCTTTATTTCAGCCCTGCTCAGAACAGGCTGTTTCTGTGTCTGTACCTTTAAATATGTAAATGAGCTGTGTCTGACAACGCCCCTCTCTGGAAGGGCTTGGGTGTCTCTGGCTTTCTCGCCCCATGTCCTATTGTTTACAGTAAGAAGGCAGACTCAGAGGGCAGAACAAACACCTAGCTGTGGGAGTGTCACCCACCTGGGGGAGGGGTTACTGCCCTTTGTGATGTCATGAAGGGAATATCGCCAAACAGCCTGTCATATACAAAAAACATCATATCGAAAAAATAATCACATTTTGACATACTGAAACCAATAAAGCTGTTTTCCCTCCTTTGGAAATCAGCAAATATTCACTTAAGGCTCAAACAAACTTGCCTTTGAACCACACGTTCACATAGACAACGTGTGTTACTGGAGGATTCCTCTAGAGGGAGCTCCACATAAACAAATCAAACTGTCCAAATAGAGATTCCAGATTTGCATGTTGCAATGTAAACAAACATGGCATAGTTGAGGACTTGATCTGTTAACTTTTCTTCAAAAACTATCCTCCATCGTACAACTCCACACTGCTCCGAGTGGTTATATGCATATTCCATCTCGCAGACGTGTTGCGCACATTTCTGAGGATGTGCACAACCAAACGCTGCAAACGACCACAGGATACACAAGGTCAATGTCATGCGTGTACGTATGTGTAGATAAAAACAAGTTCACTCAGAGCTTTACCGTCTTCTCGCTCGAACACTGACCTCCTGAGAGAGTTTCTGCTAAACTGTTTTTCAAAGTAAATTAAACTTGTCAAACTTCTCTGAACTGTTTCTAATGACTTCAAGCTCCTTTGACATTCAGTCCTGACATTTCTGAGGCCTCCTGTCACCTCGGGCTCATGTTGCCACGTGAGGAATGTGTTAAAAACTGAACGGAGAAGAACTCAAAGAAAACCCAGAGGACAGACTGCCTTCAGATTTGAGAGCCTCCAAATCATCCTCAGAAACACACAGTTAACAGGTTGTTTTCACGTTCTTCTCTGTATTCCCGCGTGATTTTGTAGTTCTCCTGTGATCTTGTGAACCCCTGTATACCGCTGCTCTGGCTGCGCCCACGCTCCAGGAACTGGAGTGTGAAGGGGTGACCTGAAGTTTGTGTAACAGTAGGGCTTCATCCAGGTCAACAGGAGGAGGCTGAGGCACTTTGTCCTTTTTCTGCAGTTTTAACTAGAAATAATAAAAAGATTTAAAAAAAAAAAAAAACATTTCCACACAACTAGATCTCTGATACTGTGAGCTGGTGACCTTCTCATGACTATCTGAGTCATCTGAGAGAGATCCCGTGTCTCCTCCTCCGCGGACTTTTCTACTGAAACAACATCATTCAGTTTGTGATTCCCTCCGGTTACTCTGCCAAGACCTGATGACTTGTTTTCACCACGATTAGCTGTGAAAACGTGTCCTTTGTCCTCACCCTAAAACATTACAGGCATTATTCTCCAACACCCCCCCCCCCCCCTTTTCTGATGACTCAGCTCAAAGTGTTCATGTGTTCACCTTCACCTCCTCAGCTACACTCATTGGTAAAATGTCAGAAGTGCAAACTGGGCCTCCTGCAATGACTCTGGTTTCAGCACAGGAGCTGCGCACACACACACACACACACACACACACACACACACACACACACACACACACACACACACACACACACACACACACACACACACACACACACACACACACACACACACACACACACACACACACACCCCCCACGCTGCTCTAACTGTGCTAACAAGCTCTGTGCCGCTGTATGCTTCCAAGGCTGTTAAATCTCTCAGCACAGAGCGGACTGATCGCTCTGCAGGTTTACTCAAAGACCTCTTCTGAATCCTGCAGAAGAAGAAAAAAAAAAAATCCCAAAAAGATTCAAAACAAACACCTTTGATTTATGTTTTATTTATAATCGTGGGATTCAGTGATCCAAGATGTAAAATATAAAAACATCTTCTAACAGGGCTCTGATTCAGTCTCTCCCTGACAGAGGTCGTACGTTTTTTAGGAGCAGCCTCATAAAAGAGCGAGGAAAGATCAACACGGGGGATCGTACAGAGACACGGCATGAGGCTGGGCGGCGGGGAGGACGGTTTCATTACTGAAAAACATCTAAGTCACCAAACTGATGATCCTCAATGTGTTTAAAGTCTCAAACAAACCACAGGATGTCCTCGTCTCAGAGCCTCACAGGGAGGACGGACTGCGTTTCTAACTCATGATCTTTCACTTCAGCCTCAGGTGATTCATCCACTGAAACAACATTTTAGGAGTTTAAATTTAAAAAACAAGGATCTCTTCCTCTTACATGGAGGCTTGTTTTTACTCCTCCATCTGTTGCACATGAATGTATCATCTGACCACAGACTAGGAGAAGTGAAATCATCCACCAGTCCCTGACCATGACCTTTCTTTTTGAAGCCTCACTGACATGAGGAAACAGAGACACTTCAGTTCAAAAGTCATTTTAAAAAGTCTGTTTTTCTTGGACCTTGATGCGACCCTGAGACAATCGACCAACAGGGAACCCCGATCAGAGACAACCCTCATTCTCAGGTGGCGGCCGGGTGCAGGAACATACAAAGGTTTGCTGCTGGGCAAACCTGAGGAAGCTACAGGTGAAACATGTTGAAGAAATCGGTGAATTTAAGATGTTTTGGTTAATTCCAGCAACACTTGAAATAGCTTGATGAGATAAAAAAGTGATTCAGTTTCAGTCTGTCGTTTTGTTTTTGTTGACGTCTTTTGGATTTCTTCACCTTCACGTCCTCGTTGCAGAGTTTCTGAAGAAGTGTTGACATTCATCTGACACACGAACAAAAACAGAAGCTCTCCTCTGAAACTTCATTTCTCCATACTGGTCACAAAGCACTTAGGCAATATAAAGGTTAAAGATTGACGTCTGTGTGGTGGATTCTGTTTGTGATATTTAGGGAAGGATTTTCATGTCATAAGTTTATTTACATGTTCAGTTTCTCCCCTCCTATTTAGCAGGAGGGATAAGGTAGTGTGGTCAATGTCTCGTAGTTCTGTATGTGCAGGACCGGTCTGCTGGAAACCAGACCTTTTCCTTTTTCTCCTTCAGTGGAGTGATGCTTGTACTCAGAACTTTAAAGCTTTTCTGTATTTGTTAATTCAAGCTTTGTATCAAGGAACCATCGGCTCCTTAGTTTAAACTTTCCCCCTCTCCATTTTTTAGCAATTTAGGGGAACTTAACAAATCCTGTCCTTTGTTATTGAACATGATGTTGAACCCACACAGAGGTTTCTCAGGTTACACTTCCTCGTCTTTTTATCTAAACTCTGAATAACTTACGCAGCTGTTTCCCCTCCCTCTGTCTGATGGTGAGTGTTAAGACATTTCTGAAGAACTGGTGGGAGGAATTAAAGAGGATTAAAATAAACTGAAGGCTCAGAGGTGTGAGGATCTTGACGGGGATTTCACACTTTTCACACAAAACTCAAACAGATGGATTTTTCGATCCAGCCTCCGAGTCAGTTTTAGGTGTGAAGTCGAGGCTGAGTTGCAATATTCATGACAATTCACTGCAAGGAAGCGTGACAGCATCAATAACCTGCAACTGGTGCACGACAATCGACTGTGTGCACACAGTTTGATCACGTCATTAAACGGCTTCATCATGTTGTCTGTTCACCAGCATGTTCTCTTCCTCTCTTTAGATATTGTGAAAATGCCAAACTGAACACAGCGACGATTTCAAGATAAAAACCTGTCATCATGACATCAGACTCTGTTGCTTCATCCGTCACCTCTGCGTCGTTCTTTTAACGTCATGTCCCGCCTCTTCCCGTTCAACAGGGAGTCTCCCGCCATGAGGTGCATGTGTGAAAACAACTTCTTGCCTCCTGCACAAAGCATGCTGGGACAGATTCTTTTCCCGAGCTGTCAGAGCGTGACGGAGAAATAAATCAACCAGACTAAAAAAAGTGTCGAAAATGACAAGAAAATAAGAGAACTTTACAGTTAAAGCTAAAAACACACACACACACACACACACACACACACACACACACACACACACACACAGACACACACATAAAAACAAACAAACAAACACACACACACATAAAAACAAACAAACAAACACACACACACACACACACACACACACACACACACACACACACACAAAAACAAACAAACAAACACACACACACACACATAAAACAAACAAACACACACACACACACACACACACACACAAAAACAAACAAACAAAAACACACACACACAAAAACAAACACACACACACACAAAAACAAAAACACACACACACAAAAACAAAAACACACACACACATAAAAACAGAAACACACACACAAAAACAAAAACACACACACAAACACACACACACATAAAAACAAAAACACACACACAAACACACACACACACATAAA